TTTTCAAGCCACCAGGTCCCAGACTTGAACTGCAGTCAGCCACGTGAGAGTTCAGCACCTTAACCACTAAAAAGAAAAAAGTTTTTTTTAGCTTTTACACTTAATAAATAGAAGAGATTACTTGTTAAGATAAAACAAGGTACAAAATAGCAAGCTCTTTTAATAATTTTAATGTGTGTTATACACACACACACACACACGCACATAAAATAATGAAAATCTGCTTTGAAATTCTATTTGATACCTTCACATGCTGTGAGAGTCTTATAATTGTTTATTCCCAGTTCTTCCTTCTCATCCTCTGAGCTATTACTATCATAATTTATTTCTACATATCCTAAAAACATAATTGCACTATTTTTGCTTTAGACAATCAATGGTATTTAAAGGCAATTAAAAATAGGGAAAAATTGAGTCTTATATTTATGTCTGTTTATGGCATTTTCAATATTCATTTGTGGTATAGATCAAAGCATCTGTTGGTATCATATTCTTTCTACCTGAAGAACTTCTATCATTTTTGGGGACCAGCAGTTAGTGTAATGGCTATGTCGCTGGACTCCCATGTAGTCGACCGCGGTTCGTGTCCCGGACCTGGTGGCTTAAAACTCACGCCGGGCGCGTGTGCGTGCGTGCCCAAGATCCCAAGAGGAGAATGGAGGAGAAGGGATTGCAGCGTGACCATCCCCCCTGGGGGGTGATTTCTCGCTTTCTGTCTCTCTGTCTCTCTCTGTCTGTCTGGTGAGCGCATGTGCCCTATAGCTAAAACCTCTCCAAAAAAAAAAACTTCTATCATTTTTTGAAGGGCAGGTCTGCTGGCAATTTTGTTTTTTCAACTTCTGTTTGTTGAAAACTGTTTTTACTGGGACCAGCAGGTGGTGTGGTGATTATATTGCTAGACTCACACATAATCAACCGTAGTTCGATTCCAGACTCAGCAGTTTAAAACTCACACTGGGTGTATGTGCATGTGTGCCCAAAATTCAAGAGGAGAATGGAGTAGAAGGGATTATGGTGTGATCATTCCCCATGGGGGATGATTTCTGACTTTCTGTCTCTCTGTCTCTTTCTGTCTCTCTGGCAAGCACACATGGCCTATAGTGAAAAAGCTCTCTTAAAGAAAAAGAAAAAAGTTTTTACTTCATTTTTGAAAGATATTATTGCTGGATATAGAATTTGATCTAGGTCAGTATCTTATTTTTCCCCCAGCATTTGGATGTCACTTTATCATCTCCTGACTTTTACTTTGTGATGAAAAGTCTTCTGTAATTTTCATTTTTGTGCTTCTCTATGTGATGTGGGTTATTTTTTTTTTTGCTTGCCCTTAGAATTTTCTCTTTGTTTTTCACCAGTTTGAATGTATCAGACTTAAGATTTCATTTGTTTTTGGCATTTAATCTTCTGCATATTTGAGAACTATTCATTGAAATTTGATAGTTAGATTTCGTGACTATTCCATTCCTAGGTTTCATATAGCTAAGAATATGGTACGTGGCTTCAAGAAGCTATATAGAAGTATAAGAAGTCTTTAGAAAGGTCACAGAAAATGAGTATTATGAAGAGAACTGTGCATGGATTTCAGTTTTTTGCACTGAAATAAACTCATACTGAACTTTTAAAAGTTTCCTTATAGTGGAACCAGCAGGTGGCGTGGTGGTTGAGATGCTGGACCACAGTTCAAGTCCCAAACCTGGCAGCTTGCTTTCTCACTCTCCCTTTCTCTCTGTACATCTCTGTTCAAAATTAAAGAATAATGATAATAAATACAATTAAAATTAAATAATTTTTTTATACAAGGTAAGAAATGGTTAGGTGACACAGACTAAGAAAATAGAGTCGAGAAGCCAGCTAAGAGAAGATTCACACAGATCACTGTGTGATGATCTGTGTAAAGTGTTCATAAGTAAGACTTTGAAAATGAAATTTGTTTCTTTCATGGGTTTGGTCAATCTCAGTTTGAACATGTTTGCTGGGTTCATAAGTAACTGCACTGAGATTTTCATCCTCTAATGCAAGAGTTGTCAGAGAAGGAACACTTAAATCTTTTGTCCCTGGCAGCTGGAAGAGAAGACTGAGAAAAACTTAGGCGAACTGGGCTCCTGTGCTGAGAGCAAAGGGGCCTTGAAGAAGGAGAGAGAGGTGCAGCAGAAGCTCCTAGCTGACAGTCACGGCCTGGTCATGGACCTGCGCTGGCAGATCCATCACAGCGAGAAGAACTGGAACCGGGAGAAGGTGGAGCTTCTCGACCGCTTGGACAGAGACCGCCAGGAGTGGGAGCAGCAGAAGAAGGAACTCTTGTGGAGGATAGAGCAGGTAAGCATGCTCCCAGTCATTGCCAGACAGGCGGTGCAGACTGCTAAATGGAGCTGGGGATCCAGAGCACTTAGAGGGAAAAGAAATCAATTACGGCCTGCTTTGTGGTCCCTGATACATTAAGTTGTTCTATGGATTTTCAGAGGAAGAGGTAGAAATGCTAGCCTAAGACTGAATCTTGTGCCCTTCCATTACCAACATTTTCATTGCAAAGTTTGTAGGTAACTTTCCTATGAGCAGATATGTGGGGGGTGTGGGCGATGTGGTCAGTTAATTTTTTAAAGGAATTGAAATAGGAGGTTATTTCAGGTCCTATTCAGCAATTTCTGCCAACAAGTAAACTAACTTTTCAGTTTGCCCCTGAAGATAATGGTCACAGTGACTGCTCCAGCATGGATGGAATTGTCATTAGTAAAGAAATTGCTGAATTAACTTGGAAGTCAGGCTGTTTGCTGGTGATTGCACCTGCTGTGGATATTGCTGAGCCGTGATTAGATAGGACCAGAGTCAAGGGAGGTAGCTGGTAGCTCATCATCTTCAACTAAACAAATGACTCAGAAACTCAGATGAATTTGGAGGGAGAGCGGGGAGTTGTTTTTGCATAGCCCAGATAATCATTCTCTGCATTGCATCAGACTTAGAACACTTTGCATAGTTGTGGTAGGCCCTGAGTGATGTTCAGATTAGGTTTTCACATTATAATGATGAAGATTGGGGATTTCTCCTTGACCAGATTTTTACATAGCATACATTTTATTTATTTCAATTATCATACCTAAAAATTCATCAGGCCTCAATAAGATGTATTAATCAATAAAAAACTGAGTTCTGGGAATATAATCTCATTATTATAAATACCCATGCTGCCCGAATTTTTTAGGAGCCTTTTGAAAACTCTACTTTATTATCTACAGACATGATACCTGTGTTATGCAGCAACAATGACAAAGATGAGTTTAAGTGTACTGTTGGATAGGAAGGGAGAGAGAATGAATGTAGTGGAAAAAAAAAAAAAACAAGCAAACAAAATAACAGGGACCTTTGGCTTAGAAATCATCAGGAAGAAGAAAGTATACTGCAGATAGAAAGGAGCTGAAGGTCTCCCTGGGTGTGATCCCTTACACAAATGAGTCACCATACTGATATTTGATATGGCCCCATTTCAGAATTCCCCAAATCTCATCATGAGAAAAGGTGACTGTTTCCTGTTTGACTTGGAAGGGCAGCACTGTGTACATTCCTCTGTCTGTGCTCTAGTGAAGGGGTCAGTTGTTAGGTGGAAACATTAAGGGTAAAGTAGTGTACAAGAACAGTCATGGGTTTACCGTAGCCAACTTTAGTTGACTGGCCTCACAGAAACTCCAGGGCACCTGTTACCAGGGTCTTCCTTCTTGGCCTTTGCTATAGGATCAGTAACTTTTTATATCCCTCTTAAACCCCAGTGGGACCATCTTGATCTTTTCCATAGCTCTGCCAGGGTCTCCTTCACCTATTAGCCATAGTGGCTCATTTTTCTTGTTACAGGCTTCATTCTTTTTATTTTTTTTATTTATTTTTTTTTTTGAGGTTTTCACTATAGGGCGCGTGTGCTCGCCAGACAGACAGAGAGAGACATAGAGACAGAAAGCGAGAAATCACCCCCCAGGGGGGATGGTCATGCCGCAATCCCTTCTCCTCCATTCTCCTCTCGGGATCTTGGGCACGCACACACACGCGCCCGGCGTGAGTTTTAAGCCACCGGGTCTGGGACGCGAACCGTGGTTGACTATGTGGGAGTCCAGCGACATAGCCATTACACTAACTGCTGGTTCCCAAGGCTTCATTCATTTTGAAAGTCATTCCTTGGATGTAAGTTAAACAAGTCTTTTAGGGTGTTTTTTGGTTTTGTTTTTGTTTTTAGAATTGTTTATTTAAAAAAATTTTATTATTATTTTAAAATTTGCTATTGTGCATGTGTGCTCACTAGAGAAAAAGAGAAGGAAAGTGAGAGCAAGCTGCCAGGTCTAGGACTTGAACCACAGTTGGCCATGTGGAAATCCAGTGCCTCAACCATCACGTCACTTGCTACCACAAGTGTTTTAGATTTTTATTTTACTTCTGCAAATGAAGAACTTCTTGTAAAGGAAAAGTTGGTAAAACATAGCCAGTGATAACTTGTGAAGAGCTGGTGGTCTAAGGATGAACCATGCCTTATTTTTAGACTATCTTTGGAAAGATAAGAATATGCAGGAGCTGAAGTCTGTTTCCAAATTGTCAATATTGCAACAATTCCAACAAACTGACAGCCTCAGGACTTCAGTCCTCATCTTTCTTTCTTTCTTTTTTTTTTTTTTTTTTGCTATAGGGCTGGTGCAGTCAGTGACAGAGAGACAGAAAGCGCGAAATCACCCCCCAGGGGGGATGGCCACGCTACAGTCCCTTCTCCTCCATTCTCCTCTCAGGATCTGGGGCATGCACGCACACGCACCTGATGTGAGTTTTAAGCCACCGGCTCCATGACTCGAACTGTGGTCGACTACTTGGGAGTCCAGCAACATAGCCATTACGCTAACTGCTGGTCCCCAGTCCTCATCTTTTGACAACAACCTTTTTTAAGAGTTTTTGCCTTAGGGCACATGCGCACAAGAAAGAGACTGAGAGACTGACTGATTGAAATAGAGAAATCACCCCCTGGGGGAATGGCTGCATGCAATCCCTTCTCTTCATTCTCCTCCTGAGATTTTGGACATGCATACACACATGCCCAGCATGAGTTTCAAGACATGGGGTCTGGGACTTAAATCACAGTTGGCCATGTGAGAGTCCAGTGACTTAACTGCTACGCCATCTGTTGACCCCAATGGTTGACATCTTTGATGTGTGTTTCTGACGCACATGAATTTCTGGTGTTCATCTGTTCCTAAAATCTGTGTGGTGGTTCCCACTGTTTTTGTATAATGATGTCACTGCTGTTTTTAGAAGAGGGATGGTTACCAATGCTTGATGCTTTAGACATGCAATTGTAGCTTTCAAAAATTAATCTGGCCTTTTCCACAAAATATTCAACATTTTTTAAAGAATATTTCATAAATCTCAGAGTCCAGTCCTGAGAATTAGATAAAGTGGTTATGGGCATTTTTTGCAAAATAGGAAATTGGCTCTTGCAGATGGGTATGGATAGATTTTATTTACCAGTTACTAGGTTGTTCATGCATTTGGCTTTTAGTTACATAGTCCATAGGTAGGTAAGAAATGTAATTGAACATTCTTCAGTATGTATGCCCTCGATATATGACTACTGGTAAGCCCTATAACCTTGACTGAGAGCCTAACGCAGATGGTGAAAGAAGTAACACTAAATCCATTTTCCACTTTCAGAACACATGCTTCATACTTGTCCAGTGTCATTAAATGCCTACATAATTTCTGTGCCACATGAGGCGTTGTTATGTGATGAATGACTGTGGGAATGTGGTTAAGGTCATGTAACACATTTCATCTATTTTATCAGCATCCCTTGTCTCAATCCACCTTTGATTGAGGGGTAATTAACTTTTATGGAGTCACACTACATTTCTTCTTAGAAGTTAACATACAGATAATGCAGGGCTGGATGTTGTACTTGCTGTACTTAGAGCTGGAAAGGAAAGCTTCTGTGCCATCCATGTTCAACCAACAATGTTCTGTCGGCTACCTTTATAGCACAAAAGGCCATCTTTTTTTTTTTTTTTTTGAGAGAGATTTTCACTGTAGGGCGCGTGCACTTGCCAGACAGACAGAGAGAGACATAGAGACAGAAAGCGAGAAATCACCCCTCAGGGGGGATGGTCACGCCGCAATCCCTTCTCCTCCATTCTCCTCTCGGGATCTTGGGCACGCATGCACACGCGCCCGGCATGAGTTTTAAGCCACCGGGTCCGGGACACGAACCGCGGTCGACTACGTGGGAGTCCAGCGACATAGCCATTACGCTAACTGCTGGTTCCCGAAAGGCCATCTTTTTAAAACCTACTTACAAGGTGACCTTTTTTTCTTTTCAAGGGTCTGGCTAAGGTGACACTTGTGAGGTTTTATTGTTTCCTGTATTACTTGAAATGCAAATCTTTTTTTGGGGTGGGGGGGAGAGGTTTTTGCTATAGGGCACGTGCGCTCGCCAGACAGACAGAGAGAGACATAGAGACAGAAAGCGACAAATCACCCCCCAGGGGGGATGGCCATTCTGTAATCCCTTCTCCTCCATTCTCCTCTCAGGATCTTGGGCACGCATGCACACGCGCCTGGCGTGAGTTTTAAGCCACCGGGTCCGGGACACGAACCGCGGTCGACTACGTGGGAGTCCAGCGACATAGCCATTACGCTAACTGCTGGTTCCCTTGAAATGCAAATCTTTAAACTTTCTCTTTTTGCATTGAAAGTTGCTCTCCTCAACAAGGCAAGTATCTTAGGTGCTGATGCCTGCTTTGAAATGATTCCCCTAGGAAACCCTATCCTTTTAAGGATCCATTATTCTATTACAACACCCCAGAGGCATCTTAGCAGCTACAATCACTCTAGCTCATTTTTAGGAAACCTAATACTTTCCAGCTTGAGTGCAAGTTGCTCCTGGCTGCCTGAGTTTATTTTTGAAATCCCTCTTTACTGAGTTAGACGTGCTTGTTCATAGCTCTCCTCTGTAGTCATTCTTTTTCTCTCTTCGCTCACACCCTCAGTGCACATTTACAGCTTCTAATGTGATTCTTGCATTTTAATTCCTCGCCCAGAATAGCTTGGAGATGATCATGTGTTGAAACTAAATTGTACTGACATGCGTTAGATGAAGATAATAAAAAGCTTTCCTTTTTTATTTTTTAAGAAAGCGTTTAGCATATTTAAGAGAACTGTCTTATTAGAGAAGAGGGAGAGAGGGCACAGGGAGCTGAACCCAAACCCAGTGATTTGCTTGTTCCTTAAGCTGACTGTGAACCTGCCTGGAACTCTAACATTTAAACTCTGGCTGCTGGAACCTCCATCTTTTTCACAAAGTAAAGATGTAGTATCTTTTATACAAAATGCTAGGACTAGAAGCATTTCATATTTCAGATTGTTTTGGATTTTGGAATATTTGCATATCTATATATAAAAGGAGATATCTTGGAGATGAGATACAAGTCTAAACACCAAAACCATTTATAGCTGCTGTATACTTTACACACGAGCTTGGAGGTAATTTTGTATAAAAGTTTTAATAATTTTGTGCATGAGAAGAAGTTTCTGTATGCTGAGGCCAGATGTGGAATTTCCCACTCGTGGCATATCAGGGATGAAGACGGTCCAGGGTTTAGAGCATTTCAGGTTTTCTCATTAGGGATGCGCATCCTGTAACTCTCTAAAACGTATGTTCTACCACTTCAGAAATACTCAAAGGCGTGACAGTCCTTGTGTCCTCATCTCACGTGGTTTTCTTCTCCTGGGCCATGCTGATATATGTACAACTTGTCGATGACTGCACAGCATTTATAAAGATCTTTTTTAAACAATTAATTCAACTGCATTCAAGAAAGTTTTAAAATTTCCTAGCTCTATCTTAGCACTTGGGGACTGAAAACTCTTCAACTGACTACCCCATTAGGTCAAATCCAGAAGGGGTATCCAAATCCTCCTCTGCCATTCAAGTAATGTACTTACTCAGAAAAGCAGTCAATTCAGTGGAGTGTGAGTTTGTCATCCAATAAAGGTCATTAAAGAGTCATAGATAGAGGGACCAACATAGGGCCTAACAGTTACATCTCTGGACTTCCACATGGCCAACTGCAGTTCAAGTCCCAAACTCACACTGTGTGCATGTGTCCCCAAAACCCCAAGAGGAGAATGGAAGAGAATAGATTGCAGTGAGGCCATCCTCCTGGGGGTGATTTCTTACTTTCTCCCTCTCTGTTCTCTCTGGCAAGCACACGCACCCCATAGCAAAAATCTCTTTGAAAAACAAAAAAAGATTCATAGGTAGAAATAGCTTCAGGTCTTTTTTAGGCTTTCTCTGCATATTCAGAAAAGGAGGCAGGGAAGGAAGATCAGGAAAGTGGAAGGGAAAGGCTTCTCTGGAGTAGAGGAATGTGTCCCTCACCTCAGCAATTCCAAGTGGTTTGGTGGAGCTTCCCTGCCCATTCTAGTGCCCCACATGGTCTGGGCCCCCTGGGTGGCATGCTGCCACCTGGCCCCAGTGTGCATGTCCCCATTTTACAGAGGAGCTGGGGAGAGCTGGGTCTTCCACCTGCCAGCAAACCAGCAGGCCGCTAATGAATGGTTCCAGCTCAGGCTTCTAACTCCAAGTGACCCTGTGCTTTCCCACAACTGCTGCTCGAGTTTGCCAAGTCAGCCCCCAACCTCATATGACTATAAAGTATGTGCGTTCTTCCCTTAGTCATACCAAATCTTCACTTTTTGTCTTTTGTTTGTTTGTTTGAATTTGCCATAGGGCACATGCCATACTAGAAAGAGTGACGGAGAGAGAGAGAGAAAATGAGAAAGCACCCACACACACACACTGCCATGGGGAATAGTCATGCCTCAATCCCTCTCTTCCGTTTCTCTCTCCTTTTAGTATTTTGGGCATATACACACACACACATGCACGCACGCATGCGCGCGTGCGCCCAGTGTGTTTCTCATGTCTCCAGGTGTAGAACTCAAACCACATAGTTAACCATGTGGGATCCAGCCACCTTAACCACCAGGCCCTGGGCAGCCCCTACAGCTAGGTTTTAAATCTCTCAAACACAGTGTAAGCTGCTTTTGACACCAAATGGTTATAGCCTGGTTTGATCACTTGGGTTACATAGAACCTGTTCTAAGAGATTTTGGTCTAGTTAGGAAAGCCAAATTTACCCTCAGAAGTTTCCTGTCACTGATAGTTTTTCAGTTCTAAGGGTAATTCCAAAAGAGAGTTTTAACATACTGCGTGTAACAATATTGGATTTAGAAAAATAGATGTATAATTTCCCATAAGTGCAGTACTCAGAGTTGTATACAATAACATATATATTTGCATCAGAAAGACTGAGCCATATATACTTGTGTAGGGGTAATGTAGTTTTTCTAGTCCAGATGAAATTGTGATTTTTAAAAATCCATTTGTAATGTTAAATTTTGAAATTAAGATCAGAATCTATAAACATTTGTTTCTCACTTCTCATTTGCTTTCTTTTTCTTTTCTTTTTTGAGAGATTTTTGCCTTAGGGTGCATGTGCTCACCAGAGAGACAGAGAGACAGAATCAAGAAGTCACCCCCCAAGGGGGATGGCCACATTGAAGTCTCCTCTCTTCCATTCTCCTCTCAGGATTCTGGGCACACACATACATGTGTCCAACATGAGTTTCAAGGTTCTGGGTCCAAGACTCAAACCATGTTCAGCCATGTGAGAGTCCAGCAACGAACCATTATGCTTTCAAATTGACTCTTAAGTACTTCCCAATTTAGGTGAAAAGATGGTTTTAGGAAGACCTTCAGACAGAAAAATAAGGCTAATTATTTTCATTTCTAAATCTTTCAAGTTGCAGAAAGAAAACAGTCCCCGGAGAGGTGGCAGTTTCCACTGTGACCAAAAAGAAGGCAATATCCGCCCCTTCCCCACCCAGGGAAGCCTCCGCTTGCCCCGCCCAATGGCAATATGGCCCTGTGCAGAAGCCGACTCCATGCCATTCGAAGACAGGCCACTGTCCAAGCTGAAGGAGTCGGACAGGTGTTCAGCCAGCGAGAATCTCTACTTGGATGCCTTGTCCCTGGATGACGAGCCAGAGGAGCTGCCGCCCCGCAGGCCCGAGCGGGAATTCAGGAACTGCCTCCCTGAGGTTAGCCTGGGTTCTGTCCATTCCCATTAACTACAGCAGAAGGTGTGGTTCTCATGAAACCCAGCAGGTGTCCTGGCGTCTGTCAGATGCCCCTCCTGGCAGGCTCCAGTGGCCTTAGCCTGTGGCAACCTCTAAATGGAGAGGAAATGAAACAATCCTAATACTAAGGGTTTTGTTTGGCAGCCCTGACCTAAACTCCAAGGGTCCTCTGCAGTCAGTTTAACTTTGCCGTCTTGTTTTAGGTTTAGAAATACTGAACTAGTGTCCCTTATAAAAGGAAGGTCTCACAAACGAGTGGGTCCAACAAAGCACAAGAGAAAGTCGATCACTCTAGGATGTGTGTATTTTCAACTTTTCTTGAAATCATAGTACAGTCTTCTGATTCTAGAAAGTTAATAACTGAAAAAAATGTCTGTTTTCAAGAAATTTCCTACCATTTGGCAATAGTAAATATCTCTAAACAGTGACATACTATGAATATCTTATTCTGGGCAAAGGGGCAACAAATCTCATCCTTAGAAACCTTCCAATGTTAGATTACCAAATGGTTAGCGGAGCCATGTCCGAAAACTTCCAAGGCACAGCATCTGTTATGTTTTTCTGGTTATGTTATTTTAAAGCCCTCCTTTTACAAATCCATTCTGGGAATCATTACCTGCGAGTCAATGGACCCATTGCTGTACTTGGCATTCGGTCTCTCAAGCATTTAATACTTAGAACTGCGTTTGTGTTAAGTAGTGTTGAAATATGGGGGAATGACACTTCAGCCACATGGCAGTGAGGTCAGGCCCTTTATCTCAGCTCCGTGCGCCAGGGTGAAGGGGCATCACTACAGGTCTGCCCTGTTGATCTGCTGGCAGCCTCACGTGGTCCAATTTCACAGAAGAGGGGACATGGACCAGAGTCAGGAGACCATCCCAGGAGCCCTGGAGTGGCTGGGACCACCACACTCACTCCGGGGAAGGACACCCCTTGCTACTTCTGTCCTGGGGAGCAGGTCTCCATCACTGTCTGAGGCTTGTTTCCTCCAAACTGTGTCAGCACTAGGTGTTTTCTCAGTAGACAACCTCGTGCCCCTGTTGTCCTCTGCCAGCACAGCTAACCTTCTTAAGGGAAAGTCACTGTCACTTCACTTCTTATTCTAAATAGGAATGGTGAAACCCAGCAAGTGCCCAAGACGAAAGCTGCCACTCCAATTTCTGTAGCAAGTTTTCAAGCCTTGGTCCATATCTGTCTCCTATTAGTAACTTACTCCATCCTTCTCCTCCACCCCTGCTCTTTCTCACTTCTCTCTACTCTTTCTCCCTCCTTCCCTTCCTCTAACTCACACACTCAGGTGGTTACAAGAGCAGACTTCAAATTCATGTAGTTGGCAGAGTCCTTTGAGAAAGTTTATAGCCAGTTTTTCTCACTCTTGTGGCCTCCTCCCTGGGTGCAGAAGCTCCAACCCCCTCATCACACTGTGGACTCTGCTTTTATGATTGGACTGCAAAGCGTTAAGGGACAGTAGCACTCCCGACCAAAACTCGGCTTCTGTGCACATTTTCACATGGCATTTTTCTAGGGAACAGAATCAAACAAATCCTGTAATCATCTTTGAGATTCCCAGGTCACCAAAATTAACTGATTCAGACAAAGTTATTTCTTCTTTACAGGAAGAAGAAAGTCACAAGGGAAACCTTCAAAGGTAAGTAAGATTGATGGAAACAACAGATGATGGAAATAAATATGCCTTGGTTTTAACATTCCATCTTGTTTAGGCAATTTATTTTAATGCTGTTTCCAAATTCCTTCACATGATGACTTCTGAATAAGTTGGTTCTTTCATTATTACTCATTTAATAGATAGGGCATTTTAGATTATTAGCAACAAGGAGGCTGTACAATACTGTGTTATCCGTGTATTCTTTTTATGATCATTTTTAAGGTCCATGGTTTTGTGTAAAAAGAGACGACATGTGTTTAGTGGTTCTGAAAAGGCCCATGAACACCTCACTTCTCATTTGAAGTCTGAGAAAACTCCCTCTATCTACCGTGAGGCATTTTATATATTGTATATTTAAAAATACTACCAGGAGGACTTACTACAATTTCTCCTGGCTGTCAGCTTTGAATGAACTATGAGGTAGTTGATGTTCGCTATTGTCCCTCCAGTCTAACTCTGTGTGTAGTTGTACTTTCTTTACTCTGTAGATGAGAACATACCGTTTCCAGCATGTGGCATTTCCTCTCAGGCACTCTTCCATTTCAGATCTCCTCACTCTTGATTTTCCTATAAATTTTGGGTCGGTGAACCCTTTGGGTCTATTTCCCCGTTTTTTGGGAGCTGTGTCAGATCCATGCTTCACCTAGAACTCCTAGGCATCTTCTGCCCTTCCTCTTTCTCCTCTGGTCATTCTCGGGGAGTCAGTGGAGGGCAGTGCTTGAGAGCTGGAGCTGTAGAGCCAAACTGCCAGGGTTCAAATCACTTCTGCCTCTTCCTAGCTAAGCGAGCCTGGGTAAGGTACTTAACTGCTGTGTGCCTCAGTTTCCTCACCGGTAAACAGAAGATATTTCAATGTTTTTTTGCAACTTAATGTGTCAGCATAAAAAGGAACTTCAAAAAACTTGTGGAAAAATGGAATTAAGGTACTGGTTTATTCTGGCACACACACAAAAAAACTTTGTGCATAGTTTTTTCATAATACACATTTCCCTATACACTTTTTTTAAAAAGAATTATTTTTATTTAATTTTATCCATTTATTTCAATTTGACCAGAAGCTGCCAGGTCCGAGACCCAAACCATGGTTGGTAATGTGGGAGTCCAGCACCCTTAATTATCACACCACCTGCTGGCCACCCCCCCATAATCTTTATGAAGCCCCCTTGTACATAAACAGTTAAAGCGGTGCCTAAATAGTAACCCAAGTGTAGCTTCCATCTGTCCCCCACCCCCTTCACAGCAGCCTCCCAAGGAGTGTGGCCAGGCAGGGCCTCCTTACCACCCAAGCCGTTGGCCTTTCTGTTTCCTCCCTGCACTGTAGCTATTTTTTAAAAGTATAATTCTGTTCATTTAAAAGTAATCCATGCTTGTTGTAAGATGTAGACGGTATCAAGATGTCTGCCGTAACATGGATGTGCCCCTTTCCCCCTCTCGGCTCTAACCGTTCGGTGCGTTTCCTCCATACCTCTGCCCTGCACTTGCAAGCACCTGTCTTTATAGTTATTGTTTCCTTTAGCCACTGCTGAGGTTGATGCCTCTCCTCCTTTGTCCTCATTGTTCCCGTCCTACTGTATCCATTCCAAGCCCCAGAGGCTCGGAGTCACCACCCCACCCCACCCCACGCTGAACCATGAGGGTGGCACAGATTAGCGCCAAGAGCATTTCCTTCATGGGCAGAAGCAGAAGTTGGATGAACTATGCCCAAAGAAATGTGGAGAGAATCGGGGTTTCAGCATCTGCCAAACACTTACAGCCTTCTTGAAGAGAGTTCTGAAACTCCTTATTGATTCAGTAACTCTTTGCATTGACCAGAAGTAGGAAGAGAAAAATCATGTTTCCCAGAAAGCTCAAGACCCAATGATAAATCCACCCATCCCTTCCATTTCCTTTCATTTCCCACACTGGTTAAAGCTAGTTTGGTGCTATGGGACATCATCTGTAAATTATGCATGACAACCACCACAACAAAAAGTAGAATGCTGAACAGTGTCATTTTTAGCCTCTTTTATCTGTGGTGACAACTGAAGAGCATGTGCCTTGCTCCCACGGTGAAGGCGACTGTCAGCAAGGCCACTCAGAGCCTGGCTTTTTCTGCGCACTGGTCTATATGATACATAGACTTGCTCAGAGCAGGCCCCTACTCTAGCCTCATCATCATTAATGGGTCTCAATCCAGGATCCCTTCAGCAAGGCCTGAACTGGACTAGAACTCTGGGTATCTAAACCTCTGTGGTTTTGTTTTGTTTTGTTTTTGGAGAGGGAGGCAGACTAAGGGAAATATTAATACATTCTGTGAGAAGCTGATTTAATTGCAAAGACAAGGAATCCATCACACACACCTCAACTCCCTACCACACCCCAGCTGGAGTTGATTCACGGCAAAGAGGTTGCATTGCTTACGCCAGCAAATCTGGCCTCCTTCCTGACCACCGTTTCTGTGCCCTTGGTGAGCTGACAGACCTCCTGAGTACTCCAGCCACCTTCCATCTTAGCTTTATTTGCCTTTCCAGCACCTCCACTTGCCCGGCATATAGGAGGCATTCAGTAAATTCAGGTCAGAGTGAAATATATTGAATAAAGTACACAGATGTTGAGGAATCTACACCTAAATCTATGCCTGTTAGGTGGCAGCTTAGTGAAAACTGGCGATTGCTTTGGCTCCCTTGTCTTCTTCCCTCAACTGTGTTCATGTGTCCAAGCGAGTTTTTTTTTTCTTATCTAGCAGTAAAGCAGGAACACACAGAAAGACAAAGATGGGTTTGGCCATTACGAAGGGACCTGAGGGAGAAGGGAAGAACTGAGCCCTGTCAGTGCATTTGGGTAGGGCCAGATGAAATTTTTGGCTGAGGTATCGGTAGTTTTTGGAAATCATGTGCCAATTTGATTATGATTTCCATTTCCCTCCTTTCTTCTACATCTTCTAAGTGGCCTTCTCTGTATTAACTACTGATTATTAATGCATTAGTCCCCCTTACCCACAGGGGATGCACCCTAAGAATCCCAGTGGATGTCTGAACCTGTGAAGAGTACTGAACGTCATATATGCCTTTTTTTCTATACGTACATACCTATGATAAAGTTTAATTTATAAATTGGGCACAGTAAGAGATGATCAACCGTAACTAGTAATAAAATAATGACAATGTATATCTATAATAAAAGCTATTCAAGTGTGCTTTTCTCTCCATCTGTCTGATTCTGTCCTACTCATTTGTTTTTGGACCAAGGTTGATCATAGGCAACTCAAACCTTAGAAAGTGAAATGGCAGGTAAGGGGGGGACTACTGTTCTTCAAACCGATAGAGAGGTTGCCTGGGTGAGAAGAGATTTCAGAGAATGGCTGTATTGTGATCTCTCTCTCCTCCGTGTACCATCAGCTCAGAGCAGATTGGAACCATGAACATTCTCTCCACCCAGTGAGCACCTGCCACAGTGCCTGGAACTCAGTAAATCCACACCGAGGGCCGTCACAGAAGGCAGTTATCAGTGGATGCAGACGCCGAGCCATAGCCTGGGGTTTCTGTGACTGCTGGCCGGCTAGCTCCACCCTTCCACCCGTTTTGAGTATCTGACAGTTAGTGTACTAAATTCTGACCATGACCAGGCTGCAGGAACAGCTCCAGAGCTGTAAAAAGCCACCAGACACCCGTAAGGTCAGCTCATGAGTGGAGCATATCTAACAGCTGTGAAGCATTGAGGCTCAGATGGAGGTGGCCCGTCACAGGTCCTTCTCCTGCAGGGCAAGATGCAGGTGCTGTGCACATAGAGGGCTGTCCGGTATAGCTGATGTCTTCTTTCCCATCTGTCCCAGGGCGGTGTCTGTGTCCTCTATGTCCGAGTTCCAGCGCCTGATGGATGTCTCCCCCTTCCTGCCTGAGAAGGGCCTGCCACCTGCCAGCAGCAAGGAGGATGTCACGCCGCCCCTCTCTCCAGATGACCTGAAGTACATCGAAGAGTTCAACAGCAAGAGCTGGGACTACACGCCCCCCAGGGTTCCTGGTGGGGCTGGGACCGACAGGCCCTCAGACCTCTGGGCAGACAGGACCGAGGTGGGACGGGCAGGGCACGAGGCTACTACAGAGCCTTTCCCCGACTCCTCCTGGTACCTGACCACGAGTGTTACCATGACCACAGACACCGTGGCCAGCCCCGAGCACTGCCAGAAGCAGCCACTGAGGAGCCATGTGCTCACGGAGCAGCCTGGGGTGCGTGTGCTGCACAGCCCACCCGCCGTCCGCAGGGTCGACAGCATTGCATCGGCAGGTGGTGAGGGCACCTTTCCCACAGGCAGGGCTAGAGGGAGCCTGGGAGATGCCAAGGGGGGCCCTCCGGAGCCCATGCTTGGCAGGTGGCCCTGTGCCCCCTCCCGACATCCCCGAGACTATGTGGAAGGAGGACTCCGCCCCCTCGATAGCCCCCTCTGCACCTCCTTAGGTTTCCCCTCTCCTCTGCACAACCTGGAAATGTCCAAGAACATGAGTGATGACATGAAGGAGGTGGCATTCTCTGTCAGGAATG